AAAAAAAAAAAAAAAAAAAAAAAAGAAATTCGTCCCAAATTCTCAAACAAATAACGCTTTCAGCTTGCTCTGTACAATGGGGAGAGAAAAAGAAGCCATTCTGCTTAGCGAATGACGTAAAAAATTTCTTTAATGAAATCGAACGTCAAACGTGGGCCGCTGTCAAAGGGCGATCCGCGGCGGATCAGCGCGGAAAAATCGTGGGTCAGAGAACCGGCAGCCGATAATGAGTTCTGGCACACGGGGGAAATATGTTCGTTCGCGGAGGAAAGGCATAAAGACCGGCGACGATACACTTTCCCGCGCGATTCCGCGTGCATCAGCTCGAAACATCGTGTTCGACATACCGCGGCCGCCTGTGTTTTAATACGCTTTAATGCAGATCGATATTTGGCAGACCGCGGGGGAGGGCGGCGGAGGTTTCCGACGTCTCGTCTCTTCCGCCCCCTCCCCCTACCCTCTTTCTTTCTTTCTTTCTTTCTTTCTTTCTTTTTTCTCCTTTCTGTCTCTCTCACTCTCTCTTCTCTTTTTATTCATTTCGCGTACCGCATGATGTCGACTGTGCGAATGCTACGCTTCGAGGTCACGAGTGCAATGTTTCACGATGGATCCACCCAGGAAGCGAGACTGAGTGAAAGAAAAAAACAAGAGAATAAGAGTATAAGAGAGAGAGAGAGAGAAAGAGAAAGAGAGTGAGAAAGGAGAGTGAATTGAAAAATTTTAGAGCGTGGACGAAATGTTTTAGAAAGAATGAGAGTCGTTTCCTTATTCTTTAATTTCTTTCTCTGTTTCTCGTACTAGTACTTCCTACATAGATTTTATTCGTCGGCAAATGTAGACGCGTTTCGCTTTTTTATGTTCTTTTTTTTTTCTCTTTCCGAACATTTACACTCGAAATTTGCACCCTGTGTGTGTGTCTGTGTGTGTGTGTGTCTGTCGCGAGAACGAAAACGCGTAACTCTACACGCACCCACACACACGCAGGGTATAACGAGGTTTCCTCGGATAATTTGCGGTTTCGCAGTTCCGCGATAGCATTTGTCAATTAGCAGCTTGATACTTGCGAATCGTCTCGGGATTCCTCTTCTCTTTCTTTCACATACAGCCGATACTAATGTTCTATCTTTTTGTGTCGTATACAGCTATATTAGCATAGAGAATGAGAAAACGAAGGAACGTGCGTTTGAGAAGGTTGGTATTCATTTGCCCTTTGTGTTCCTGTACGATAGGTACTCGCGAACGATAAAGACATCGGCGACAATGGAAAGATCCAGTACAGCATCAAGGGTGGCCGCGGCAAGGGCAAGTTTAAAATCCACCCTAACACGGGGATGGTGTACTCTCAGCGTGGTTTCGAGGCTGGACAGGAATACGAGATGATGGTAAGTGAAAACGATCGAGAAAATCGCTCGTGATTTTCCACAAATCACGCCACGTTGTTTCTGCCAAGTGTAATTCGATTTGCCGTTCCCAAAACTCGAGTGCAATCAGAACGCTGTTCCAAAGGGACCGTATGGCTCGCGTAGAATCGCTAAACAACCAGCTGCTCCAAGAATTACACGGGAACGTTGACTCTGTGAATGTATAACGCGTTCCGCCACAAAGGATCCCGCGTATATTGCGAACCGAGCATCCTAGAAATTCAACACGGACACGTTTCAGAAGTCATAATTCATGGTCGATCGAGAAAGCGGCGTTTCCCTTAATACAATTTAAGTTGCAGCTTCACTTCACCTCCTGTACGCCTCTCTGTTTGCCAGATAAGGGCCGCCGACAACGGAGAACCGCAGCGCAGCCATCAAACACGGGTGTCCGTGCAAGTTGTCGAGGTACCGAAGGAATCCGAGAATCCGCCGGTCTTCAAGACCAACAATCAAAGTGTCGAGGTTACGGAAAGCGACGAGGTGGGCTTCCTCGTAGCTTTGGTCCAGGCCACGGACAAGGACGGCGACTCCCTGTGGTATGATATTATCGGTGAGTCTTTGCTACTTGCACTTTCACGTTATCCTTGGGAAATATTAGGGTTAAAGGGTGGTTCTGCCACTTTTTGAAAAAAAAAACGTACAATTGTTGCCTTTTTCTCCAAATTTTTGTTATTTCGAGCAAATTTCGATAACGCTCGCGACAGTTCGAAGTTATTTATTTTCATTTTCGATAAATGATATTTACATTGCAATTGGTCGGTTTCACACACATACTCGGATTAGACTATGGGTGAAACTAACCTTGAAAAATAAAAAGATGTATAATTTATAAAAGATATAACGAATGAGAAAATTAATTGATATATCTTTCTTTTTCAATTTTCCATATAGATTGTACTAAAAAGCCAATGGTTGCAGTTTGCATATTTAATATAGTCATACACTTCTCGAAATAGTTTCTTCCGCACTTTTCAAGCAATTAACACCCTAATAACCTAACACGTAATAATGTTATCGTATATATTTATTTAACACGGTCGAGCTGTTTCGAATCAATGTGATCACGAAAATGATTGATATAAAATAAAAATGAACACATGCATACTATCGAGATTATATTGCAGTTACGTATCCGCCAATATTGAAATGGTGTAAATAAACTTACTTGTTTTTGCAACACGGACAAAAAAAGTCTTCAGATTTGTTAAAATTTTGAAACGTAATTTACGCTTTCGTACATTTTCGTGATAATTATCGATGCGAGATCTACAACGAAATGATTCGTTTTGTTTTATTTCAACGAGACACGGAACACCCCAGTCTTGTATCAATTTTAAAATAAAATATTAGCGTTCAAGCCGATCTCAACTAAGTCTTATTGACGTTGAATTTTGAACGTTGCATCCATTAACGCTAATAGAGTTAAAGTTCGTTGATCACGATATCTTGTTGTTGATTGGCGAAATACCGGGTGTTTTCGTTGAGATATATTCAAGTGGCGGGAGTAACTGGGGCTTGTATAACGTTCTCAAAGTTTGAAGGATCGAAGTTGGAAAGTTTCGCAGCTGGGTCTCGCAAGTAACAGTTGAACTTCGTGCCGCCAAATAGCCGGACCAGTTCGAGACGAATTTATGTCACGATTATCAAAATCGTGAGTTATTTAGAAAGATCTCCGCTGAGAATTCAATCTACCTTTTCCTTTTGTTACATCCTATCATGATAATCAGAATGTTTTATAACGTTTCTTCGTCTAAACAACGAAAGCGAAAAACGACGAACGCGAGGACCAACTAGTGCCGTCTGCTTGCAGACGGTGACAAACGAGACGAGTTTTTCATCGGCCGTGACAACGGGAACGTGCTGTTGGCGAAGAGGCTCGATTGGGAGACGCAGAACTTTTACAACCTGACGATCCGCGTCACGGACAGCGTGCTAACGGCCGTGACGCAACTATTGGTCACGGTGATCGACATCAACGACCACCGGCCGGAATTCACCGAGAGCATTTATCACGTGGACATCTCGGAGAACGTTGAGAAAGGCGAGAAGATCCTGCAGCTGCACGCGACCGACGAGGACGAGGACAAGAAGGTGTTCTACAGCCTTCACGCCGCACAGAATCAGGCTTCCTTGGAGATATTCCACGTGGACTCGGTGACGGGGGCGGTTACACTGAACGAGGTACTCGATCGTGAGACCATCGAGGAACACGTGCTCACCGTGATGGTGAAAGACCAAGGAACGCCCGCGAAACGAAATTACGCGAGAGTGATAGTGACGGTGCACGATCACAACGACCACGCGCCGGAATTCATCAGCGAGATCATCCAGGGAAAGGTGTACGAAACGTCTCCGATTGGCGCCGCGGTGGTGCAGGTCTACGCTATAGACAGGGACAGAGGAGAGAACGCGAAAATAACGTACTCGATCACGTCTGGGAACGTGGGTAACATGTTCGTGATAGATCCGGATCTGGGTGTGATTCGCGTGGCTCGAGAATTGGATCTCAGCGTCTCCTCGGAGTACATACTGCTGGTGAAGGCGACGGATCACGGTTCCCCGGCTTTGTCCAACACCGTGCCTGTACACGTGATGGTCACCATGGCCGACAACGCTCCGCCCAGGTTCATTCAAAAGGAATTGTCCGCCGAGATCTACGAGAACCAGCAGCTAGGTACGTACGTGAAACACGTGGAAGCCAGGAGCACGTCCTCGTTGCAGTTCGAGATCGTGCAGGGTAACAAGGACGACACGTTCTTCATGAACCCCAGTACGGGCATCATAGTGATCAAGAACGAGCTGGATTACGAGAAGACCAAGTTTTACAATCTGACGGTTGCGGCGACCAACATGGCCAGCGCGAAGGCGCGCTGCAACGTGATCGTTCACGTTCTGGATCGAAACGACAACGCGCCGAGGTTCCTGCAAGCAACCTACAGCGGAGAGATAAGCGAAGGTGCTAGCATAGGCTCGTTGGTACTGACCAACAGCAGCACCCCGTTGGTCATAAAGGCGGAGGACGCCGACTCCGAATTGAACGCCCTTTTGAACTACGACATCGTCGAGGATTTGCCTCGGAAATACTTCCACATAGACTCGAGCACAGGTGCCATCAGAACGGTGATGGTTCTCGATCACGAGAGCATTCCGAAGTTTACCTTTCACGTGAAGGTTTCCGATCTCGGGAAACCGAAACTGTCTTCCGAGACCACTGCCAAGGTCATGATCGTAGTGACCGATGTCAACGACTGTCCGCCCAAGTTCCTCGAAAACGACTACAACGCCACTCTACTGCTGCCCACGTATAAGAACGTCGCGGTGATCCGAGTGAGCGCCGCAGATCCGGACAGTTCCGAGGGAATTCCGCTCAGGTACGTGTTAAAGTTATTAAAATCTACGCGCTTTTTTTTTTTTTTAATTAACCCCCTGCGCTGGCAACTTTTTGGTTCGCGGACCATAACGAGCGACCGAACCGTATACAATTCGTCGCTTTCTTTTCCCCTTGAACTCGTCGGTGCGATATCACTGAATAAAGATTATTAAGAAGTAATGAACTCATCATTCGTTTCATTTAAATATGCTTAAAACTGAGGGAATGTTGCAATTTGGGACAAAAAAAATTCTCAACGTGCCACGCAAGAGGTTAAGAGATTAAGTCATATATTTATGTGAATGCCGCTGTGACTTTGTTAACATTTATTTACCATCACAGTTGTTGCGATTTACGATCGTTTTCGATGCTCAGAGAGAAAATCACCACGTTCGCCGATGCATACCGTTCTTCTCAACGTTTCGTTTCTTTCTGTTCCGGCTCAGGTACGACATCATCGACGGGAACAAAGCGCACACGTTCGACATAGACCCTCAGACTGGCGTGATCACGGTTTATAACCCGGAACGTATGAAGAGAAGCTATCTGCTGAGGGTCCGTGTCTCCGATGGAAAGTACTCGAATGTCTGCCAGGTGAACGTGATGGTGGAGAAGTCGGAGAACTCCGGGCTGATGTTCCAGAAGGACGTCTACGAGGGAACGATCCCGGAGAACTCGACGAGGATCACGACGGTCGCCGTTGTGAACGTTTTGGGCAGCGCGCTCAACGAGCATATTGTCTTCAGCATACTGAACCCCACCGACATGTTCGTAATTGGGCCGACATCCGGCGCGATCCGCACCACCGGGATTAGATTCGATCGGGAGGTTTGCGAGCATTACGAACTGATAGTGGAAGCGAAGAGTCACACGCCGAGCAAAGAGAAGCCAAGGGTGGCGCACGTGATTGTGAACGTCACCATATTGGACATCAACGACAACTGTCCAATGTTTGTTAACTTGCCCTATTACGCCGTCGTGTCCGTGGATGCGCAGAAAGGCGACGTTATCACCAAGGCAAGTAGATTGCAATTGTTCTCGGCTGCACAATCTAGAACGCTGGATGTTGCGTATAGGATAGAGGCAGGAAAATTGCTCGATTAGCTTAATAGAATCTTACTCGCTTCTGGTTTCTGCAATCCCTTTCGTAACATAGTTTGTATTATCGTTGTATTAAGGAGGGCAGGACAGTTTGACGGGGCTAAATTAGGAATACTTTGGAGAGCTAGTCAAACAAAAGTACATATTTGATATTGACACGAGCTTTCGTGGTTTATTTTCATTATGAAATATAAAAATTTATTTAACTTTTTAACGACATCCTTTTACATAACTTTTTTTCACATTGCCTTTCGGTATGCATGATTCCAGCTAAATAAAAAGGCAAAAAAAAGTTCAAAAGTAAACAATATTCTCTAAGGATTGACGATCCAACATTTTCATTTCTGTGAAAATTATGAAAACAGCAGCTATTTGTTTTCGATGTATCGAATTTATGCCAAAAGTTTCTACGTTCTTTTGTTTATATTTTTCAAAATTAAAAACTGTTCGATCGTCAATCCATAGTAAATGTTACACTAAAGATAAGCATCAAGTTTCACAGTAATCGGTTGGTTAGATTCCGAGATATCTTGCACTCCGTTTCTAAAAACCTAGTTTCGAGAAAAATGCGTTTAAAGTTTCAGAACGTCATTTTTCATATGTATCTTTTACTTACTTCTTTTACTTATATATCGCGGCTCACAGTTCGTACAATTCACGACTAAATTGAATCCAAGTCCCCTAATATTCGATTCACCAAAAGCAATATTTGAATCATACACTTTATAATACTGCTTAAAGCTGTAAACAATGATACAAAATTCAGCTATTCTGTATTCCATGGCGGATTTATTATTATAGAATAAGTCGTTTTAAAGGCTAGGACCTTTTCAATCTTATTTCTAAGACTTCAAACTACTATTTAAAACAAGAAAGAAAAAAAAAAACAGCTTTTTGAAAATATCAAACTGTCCTGACCCCTTGATGTTTACTTGAAAAGCTTCGATTTGAAAGTTATTCCAACGTTTTAAAATTGTTGTTAAATCGCGACGTACGTGTGCAAGTCACCGATTGGCTTTGCAGGTACACGCGGTGGACATGGACAGCGGCGACAACGGAGAAGTCAGGTACGAATTGAAAAAAGGTCACGGGGAACTGTTCAAGGTGTGCCGGAAAACGGGCGAGATATCCCTGAAGCAGAACCTGGAGGGTCACAATCGCGAGTATCAGCTAACTATCGCCGCGTATGACGGAGGTAAACTGGCTATTCGCAGGATCTACATTTTAATCGGCGTTTAAACAACTTTCGACGAGGCTTGAAACTTTATTCCAGGCATAACACCGTGCTCGATCGAGGTGCCAGTGAACGTGAAGGTGATAGATCGGTCGATGCCAGTGTTTGACAAGCAATTTTATACGGACAGCGTGTTGGAAAGTATCGAGATACATTCGCCCCTAGCTTTGTCTATTCAAGCTGAGTCACCGTTGAATCGCAAGCTCATATACAGTATAACGAAAGGCAACGATTTCGAGGAATTCGCTCTGGATTTCAACACAGGTGAGCGAGCGTTCGTCGGTCGCACGGACGAAACAGTTTTTTCAAAAAAACCCGTTGGATGAACGATGAAGCGAAGATTGAATTAAACGCGTAGCGCTCCGGCACGGAACGATGAAGTTGCAACTCGGACAATGTAGCTTTCAACAACACATACACACACACGATAAGATTCAAAAAAACTGCCACGTTTTCGGTCCCGTCGATTTTTCTCTTTCACGTGGTATATATTTTTATTTCTTGCGTCATCGTTCCATGCGAGACACGATACGGTCGAACGGTAGTAGTGTATATGTGTATGTATACATGTATTTTTTTTCTTTTTTCGTTCCGTACTTTTCTCTCTCTCTCTCTTTCTCTCTCTCTCTCTCTCTCTGTCTCTCTCTCTCTCTCTCTCTCTTGTTACTTTTTTTTCTTCTTTTTTTTTTTTTTGTCTTCGGAACGACGAAAATTTTTCCAATGGCATCTCACGACACAGCGGCGAACGTGTGTTACATTCGAAATTGTAAACGCGCGCGCGAGCGGAGAACGTTGCGTCCTAAATCCAGTCCCGTACAAAACGTCTCCCGAGGATTCTCATTCCAACTCGGCTGTGGGGCTCATAACTTTCGACCTATTCATTACCGAAAATATTCGCTTCGTGCACAGCGAGACGAGTCTCGAATTTCCCGTCGACATGTTTGCCACGTGATAATCGAACGCGACGGATGATGAGACACAACTTTTCGAAACGTGTATTATTTCATCCGTTTGTCAATGTTACGACAGAGTGTACACGAGGTGTGACAAGCAAATTTATGCACTTACAAATATACAGTAACGGTAATGAAGGGGTTAAATATAAATGATTATCTCGATAATCCCGTACGCAAACAACCGCGCTTTCTATTTTAACGAATGACGCGTTGGTTTCGCTGTACATGGTATTCGGTGACTAAATTCTAATCAAGTTACGGTGTAGTGGTGAGACAGTAGTAAATTGGGGCTGTTGGAATGTATCGCAACACGTAACACAAGCTGCAGTTATAATCGTTACTATTAATTTACTCGTATATAATTAATCGCAGACAATTATATATTACTTTGTGTCGATTCTGTTCGACGTTGAGATATAGTATTTACGTTCGTCATTACTTTTTTTACTCGTAGTAATTATTTCTCTCTCTCTCTCTCTCTCTTTCTCTCTGTCTCTCTTTTTTAAATTAATTCTCCTCTCTGTACCCGTCTCTCTCCTATAATATATTCTCTACGAATGCTTATTTGATTAAACTAGACATTAAAGTATTGTTGTTATCTCCCTGTTTCGCAGCCCCCGACAGTAACAATGGTCCTTGTGAGTATAAAGAAATACCAGTTCTATCGGTCTGCTCTCTCTTGCACTATACCACACGCTGCCGCACTGCTCTCTCTCTTTCTCTCTCTCTATCTCATCTTTCTACGATTTTCATGCACGACTTGAACAGTAACAATGAGTTTCCTTCGGCCGCCGCCAGTTTTTCGCGTCGATCTACCAACGATAAATCTCCACACCCTGTCGCTATCCCCTGAGTTAATACCAACCCCAACGACCGGTGCACCACGTCACGGAATAAGTTAGAATAACGGCGAACACCGATCGTGATATCACGCCGAGTATCGATCGTAATTCAAGCGGATGCTCCGACTCCGTTGATATCCAAAGTTTCAACATAGAGATTTAATCGTAAATAATATTCGCCCGTACATCTCTATACATTTCGCCACCCATCAATCGACCAAACTTCAAACGACGACGATTTTCGGACACGCTTTGGTAGTAATTTTCAAGAATAACACTTTCAAATAGAATTCTCACTGTACTTTATCTCGCGCGATAAAAATGTCAAAGATGAACTCTCGGGGAAGTTTCGAAGAAACGGTTACGCTCCGGTGCGCGAGGAGGGAGGGGGAGGGGGAGGGGGTTAAGTGTCAAGAACTGGAAACGCCGGAAACTCGAACACGCCCGGAACCCGTATCATCGGGTGCCTGAGATTTCCGCTCGCCGCATACTGCTTTCTACAGATTGCACGTCTCTCGCACGTAATATCCGGCGTGGCTCGCGACCTCTAACCGCTTGCCGATCGATGCACGATGGTTTCAAAACTGAGAAAAGAAAAGAGAGTCGTTCGGTAACGATTTAAGGGGGGCAGGACAGTTTGACGGGTCTAAAAATTACGAATACCTTGGAGGACTGGTAGAAAAAAAGTACACATCTGATTGACATGAGTTTTTATGGTTTACTTTAACACACTATGAACCGTAAAAAGCAACATTAAAAAAGAAAAAAAGAGGGCTCTTGTTTAACTTTTTAACGACATCCTTTTACACAACTTTTTTTTTACATTGCCTATCGGTGTGCATGTAAACAATATTCTCTAGGGATTGACGATCCAACATTTTCATTTCTGTGAAAATTATGAAAACAGCAGCTATTTGTTTTCGATGTATCGAATTTATGTCAAAAGTTTCTACGTTCTTTTGTTTATATTTTTCGAAATTGTTAAAAATTAAAAATTGTTCGATCGTCAATCCATAGTAAATGTTACACTAAAGATACGCATCAAGTTTCACAGTAATCGGTTGGTTAGATTCCGAGATATCTTGCACACCGTTTCTAAAAACCTAGTTTCGAGAAATACGCGTTTAAAGTTTCAGATTGTCATTTTTCATATGTATCCTTTACTTAATTTTTTTTACTCATACATCGCGGCTCACAGTTCTTACAATTCACAACTAAATTGAATCCAAGTCCCCTAATATTCGATTCACCAAAAGTAACATTTGAATCGCACGATTTACACTTTATAATACTGCTTAAAGTTGTAAACAGTGATACAAATATTCAGTTATTCCGTATCCGTGGCGGATTTATTATTATACCGCAAAATAAGTCGTTTTAAAAACTAGGACCTTTCTATCTTATTTCTAAAACTTCAAACTACTATTTAAAACAAAACCAAAGAGAAATCGATTTTTTGAAAATTTCAAACTGTCCTGCCCTTTTAATGGCATGCTAATCCTCCTCTCTCCGTGTTGTGGATGCTTTTAACCGTGCACGTTTGCTCTCACCTTTACTCGTCGTTTTCAACACCACCGGTCCCATTATCTCATGGACAGAAGCAACGAAGTTGCGCGAAGGAACGGATTTGCAGTGTTGCTTTTGTGGTCACACCGAGGCCGCAATATTCGAGATGTATCTCGAAACCGCGTCTCAACGCATCCTTATCGTTGGCACACAATTATTTTTTCTTTCCTTCTTCTTTTCTCTCTGTCTTCCTTTCCCTTCGTTCTCATTTTATCCTCTCACCTCTCCTCTTGATTCTTACTGGCTTTCACCTCTGTTCTTCGCATGGCGTGCCTGCACCTTACCGTCGCGTGCGAAATCGGGAAAGATACCGTGCTTGTACCTTAAACGAGCTACAATGCGTGGAAACGGCGAGAAAGGGAACAAGTCAGCTCGTTTGTAACAGGTTGACTACGTGACACCGTTCGCTTGCTCGCTTACTTCTCGAGATCGATCTCGGAATACAGGATGGCCCGTAGCGAATCTTTGAGTAAAATTTCGTCGAGTGCTTTTCATAGAAAAAAAAGAAAAAAATTGGCTAAAGTGAAAAACTCACACTCGCGGAGGATTTATTTATTTTAACTTTGAAAAAAGTTAAGCTCGTTTCACGTACGATCGAATTGTCCGGCACCAAGTTTTTACATTTTTTTTTTCAATCAGTGAAGCCAATATACCGTCTCGTCGGGGAACTTGTAAAGATCTCGAGATAGTAGTCGCGCGACATTGTCCCAAGAGTCCAGAGTGATGACAGTTCAAGAGCTCGGTGAAGTTGCACGAAAGAAGACTCGATAGCGTCCGTGTGAATGGAGTCAACCTGTTAAGTTGCACAACGCGCGCCGTCATGTTCGAAGATACGGACATTCTGGTAGCATCGAATTCAGGCGAATTCACTCACCGGTATATCCGAGCGTCTTGTACAAACGTGTGTTCACCACGTGACTCGCATTCACCGGTAGCCTTCTTCCTCTTGGTGTCCGCGAAACCGAGCAAACTCCTTGAATTACCCGGTGTCATCGATAAGTAACGGAACTGCCACATTTCTCGACACCTCTGTACATTTGCATAAGTTCTGCATCAAGTGCAAGCACTGCATCGAGCTGCATCTCTTTCAAGAAACATCGCGTAAAGTACACACACGTAAGCACACACACACACACGAAAAAAAAAGGAAAGACTCCCGACAGTCCCGGCATGACGATCACGAAAAAGGAAAATGTTTCTCGGCTTTGTGGACGCTACGCTGCGCTGCATAGATCGCTTTTGGGTCTACAATCTTCTCTTCGATAAATCAGGTGTAATCTACGTGGTGGACGAGCTGGACTACGAGCAGAAGAAACAGTACGAGCTGACGGTTCGCGCGACGGACAGCGTATCAGGCGTCTACGCGGAGGTGCTCGTTAGCATTCTGGTGCTCGACGTGAACGATTGCCCGCCCGAATTCACTCAGGACTCGTACAACATCTCGGTGTCCGAGGCTGCGCCGTTCGGCACTTCCGTGTTGAGAGTCAGCTCCAGAGATAACGACACGGGTAAGCGGTTATTAAATTCAGGCATGCATATTAATGTTACTCGTGTTAATCGTGAATGGAACGACATAGAGAAGAACAACGTGGAGACGAGACTCGTCACTTTTCTCTACGTATTTGCACGTTGCGTGATGTTCGTGGATTTATCTTGTCAACACGCGAGTCCTTTCTTTCACCTTACCGGTGGATAGAAATTTCTTACGACGACTCGATGATTCGCTCTGGATAATAATAAATAATATAATAAATTAACAGGATTTTTAGATTAGAATAATTTCCTCGCCCCGCTGACATTTTACACAAGAAATTACACCGTGCGTGGAAAGTAGTGCGAAAGCTTGCAAAATACGTATCGAAAGTTCAATGACCTGGTTCAATTCGCAATTAATGTCGAGGGAGCGGTGATCCTTTCGTCTCTGTCTCTGTGCAACGCGTCTCATAAATAACGCGAGGCAGCCTTGCTGGAGCAAGATTAATATTATTGTAATTATTGTGAAGGATGCTCTTAGCGGGCACCGCGACTGAATTATCGCGATGAAATATACCCCAGGGTTGTTACATGATTGCGCGAGAATGGACCGAGGAAAGGATACGGGGCAAAGGATAAATAGAAGCTGACGTTTCTCGTCCGCGAAATTTTGTCCGGTGATTTATTCAGAAATTCGTTCACGGTGACTTGGAACCGGTGGCAGAAATTGAAGCGAAGCGAACTTCAATTTAACGAACTGAACGTTAAACTCGTCGAACGCCGGATCTGTTTCGTCATTTATTTATATTATAATGACTGTAGTTAATTAATTGGGGTTCTTGAAAATAATCTCTATAGGAAAATTTTTCTCTTCGGTGAGTGATACAGCTGTTGTAGGAAACGTTAATTAAAGATTTATCCTCGTGTAACAAATAATTTTCCGCTGATGCGTCGTCGGCATATTTCGATACTTGTTAAATTAAATTTTCATTAACTTACGCACACATTGATCCGTCTCGTATAAATAATAATTCTTAATTTCGAAAAATTAGAACGCTGGTGTTTGCCAGGGGCTTAATAAATCAATATGAGAACGAGAACACATACGTATCATACGTCGCATCGTTCCCTTGCGACGAAAGCGATACAAAGTGAAAACACGATTTTCCAATTATCACTATAAAAATGTTACAGAAAAGAAGACATTTCTTCGTCAATTATGAAAGTCTCATTAATTGGTCGATAAAAAGGAATTATGTTGCTCGTATGTGCATGTCGTATTGCTCCGAATATAAAGTAATATTCAATTTCGTTCAAAGCCAGATTTTCGCTTTCCATCCCAAGAGGAACATACTTTTCCCGAGTTGTGTCAGTTTCGTCGCAAGGGAGCGATACGTCTGCTACGCGTTACCTTACTACCTTGTGCCACCCATTCAATATCGTATACCACTTTTTCTCTGTTAACAGACATAAACCAGCAGGTACGCTACGCGATTCAGAACGACACGGAGAGCAGCACGGACCTGTTCCACATCGATCCGGAGGAGGGCGTGATCTTCCTGAAGAGATCTCTGGACCACGAGGCTCACGAGTCGCATCACTTCACGGTGATCGCGATCGATCGCGGGGTGCCGAGCCTTTCGAGCACGGCTCACGTTTGGGTGACAGTGATCGACATGAACGACAACCCGCCCAAGTTCGAGCAGCCATCGTACACCTGCTCGTTGTCGGAACACGCGGAACGAGGTCAGTTCGTGACGGTGGTGTCCGCCAGCGATCCAGACTACGTGGACGACAAGCTCACGTACACGATAGTCGGCGGTAACGAGCAACAAACGTACAACATCGACCAGTCCACCGGCATCATCTCGCTGATCAATATGCAGAACTTCGGCGAGAAGAAGCTCAGCATGCTGAACGTCTCCGTCACCGACAACGTGTACACGAGCTTCGCGCGAGTCAAGATCGAGATACTGCCCGCTAACAGGCACAATCCCAAGTTCCCGAATCCGGTGGTCGAGGTGACGGTGTTCGAGAATCAGCTGCCTGGCAGATTGGTCACGAGCGTGATAGCCACCGACGAGGATTTCGGCGAATACGGCGCGGTGATATACACGATCGCTTCGGACCTGATGAAAGAAATATTCGACATAAATAGGCTGACCGGCGAGATCGTAACTAGGAAGAAGCTGAACCGGGAGGAGCAGAAGCTGTACGAAATACCGGTGATGGCCACCGACGGGGGCGGCAGGTCGGGTTTCGTGATCGTCAGGGTGAGAGTCGGTGATGAGAACGACAATTCGCCCGTGTTCCTGCTCAGAGAGTATAAAGCCAGTATTCACGGGAATTTGACCGTTAACACGCCGTTCCTCAAGGTAAAGGCTGTGGACGCCGACGAGGATGACGCTGCGAGGATTGTTTATTCGATATACGAGCTGCAGACTTCGGAGGCGAAGGCGCTGTTCGGGATCAATCCTGACACCGGGGCGTTGTTCCTGCAGAAAAGTGCGATGCCGTGGGGTAAGTTGCAACGATTTCGCGCAGCAGGTAGTAGTAGATTTATGTACGAAGTGCCAATCTATGTTCTTAATTCGGACAAATATAATAAAGTATAATTAACGTGATTCGTAGTTGACACTAAAGCTAAAAAAAGTGATCAAAACGACCGGTTTATAATTTTCCAAGTACTTTTATCACATATAACTAGCAGTCAATAATTCCTAGTTGAATTACGAATATTATGACAAATTTCGCATGTGATCAATTGTGGATCGTTTTATTCGAGTTCTATGTCTAAAAATCTACTTTACAACAGTCTTAGATTAGATATCCTTAGTAAATGTACGTTCACTCTCTGTTCAATATTTCAGAAAACCAATTGTTCGAGCTGTTCATTCGCGCGGAAGACAAGGGTGGAGCGACGACTCATCACGCCGACGTTCCTCTCAACGTTTACATAATGGGGCCGCAAGATGTGCCGCCTCTCTTTGAACGAAAAGAGGACAAATTCTTCATATCCGAAGCGTCTCCCATTGGGACGCCGATAACGAGACTAAAAACCGTGACCAACACCACGGTCACCTACAGAATAGTTTCCGGTGACGAGGATTCCCCGCTCTTCACGATCGACGCTCATGGACAGATCACTTTAGTCAAACCCCTGGATCGCGAGCTCAAGGATAATCATTTGATCGGAGTCCTCGCTGAGACGGACTCCAGTCCTCCGTTGACAGCGCTGGCCGAAATATCGCTGCAGGTGTTGGACGAGAACGATCATGCCCCGAAATTCGAAAGCAATCCGTATGGTATCAGCTTGGCGGAGAATATAGAGGAAGGGACGTCGATCTTGAAAATTATCGCGCACGACGAAGATCTCGGCAGCAACGGCGAGGTTCGATACTCATTTGGCTCGGATATCGGCGAACTGGCGAACGTCTTCACCGTGGATACGTACACCGGCTGGATATCGACGCTGGTTCTGCTTGACAAGGAAAAACAGCCAGAGTACAAGTTTCAAGTACGTTCGATTAAAACATTTTCACAATACGAACGATCCGGGTTCCTGTTATTTTCAGTTGTAACGTGTCTTCTTCTTCTTTTTCTTCTTCTTTCTTTTTTTTTTCTTTCTTGCGAAATTAAAAAAAGACAAAACATTCGTCACGATGTTCAATGCGTTTAATTTAATTTTTGAAACCGTGCGCAGGTGGTCGCTACTGACAATGGGAATCCAAAGCACTTCGCGAGGACTTCCGTGCACGTGAAGCTGAAGGATTACAACGACAATCCCCCGGCGTTCGTGGACGATCGTTACGAGGCAGCGGTGAACGAAGACGCTCTGCCAGGGACGGTGGTGGTGAAATTGATCACCGTGGACAAAGATTCGGACGTAAACACGCCGATCGAGTTCTACATAACGTCCGGCGACTCGAGGTCTCAGTTTCAGATCAGATCGACCGGCGAGGTATACGTGGCGAAGTCTCTGGACCGGGAAACGATCGATCGTTACGAGTTGGAAATAGTCGGCACCGATGGCAAATACGTCTTCAAGACGCGTGTAACGGTGCAGGTGCTCGACGTGAACGACAATCCACCGTACTGCCTGAGGTATCGTTATCGAGAGATCCTTTCCGAGGGTTCGCATCCTGGAACGTACGTGCTCACTGTCCTGGCCACTGATTACGACGACGAGCCAAACGCCAAGCTGCGTTTCTATCTGACCGGCGACAATAACGACAAATTCTCGTTGGACAAAGAGACTGGTGTGCTGAAGACGATCGGCCAGCTGGACCGGGAGACTCAAGCCAAGTATTCGCTCACGGCCCACGTGCAGGACAGAGACAAACCGTCGTGGGAATGCTCATCTCAGCTAGAGATCCTAGTCTCAGATCTGAACGATAACGCACCGAAATTCACCATGCAAACGTACAGCGCCACGCTGCCGGAAGACGTGGAGGTTGGCACGTTGGTAACCAAGGTACACGCCACGGACGATGACATCGGCATTAATCGTAAGATCAGATACGAATTCATCGATTCTGCCGACGGCCATTTCCACGTCGCGGCGGACAGCGGCATCGTTACGCTCGGCAAGCCGCTCGACAGAGAAACGAAGGCCATGTACAACGTGACTATACAGGCGGTCGATCAGGGGACTCCTCAGTTGATGAGTATGACATCGTTGATCGTCAACGTGCAGGATATCAACGACAATCCGCCGGAGTTTGCGTCCAAGGTCTACTTCTCGAAGGTTCCTGAGATCTACGCGGTCGGCACGGAAGTGGCACGAGTGCTCGCTACGTCGAAGGACACCGGAGTCAACGCCGACGTTTATTACTCGATCGTCGGCGGAAACGAGCACAAGAAGTTTCAAATAGACGCGCGTACCGGCGTGATTACCATCGCGGAGCAATTGGACTTCGAACGCGCCAGGGATTATTTCCTGACCATCCAGGCCGTGGACGGAGGCATCCCACCTTTGAGCAATCACGCCACCGTGAATATTACCGTGATCGATAGCAACGATAACGCGCCGATATTCAGCGAGGTTTCGTACAGGGCATCTATACGCGAGGACGCGAAGATCGGAGAGAAAGTTACGCAGGTAAGCGAAGTTTTACGTATGTGTCTATACATGAACAACTGATTGAGTTGTTACGTAACGTTGTCTCGTAATCGGAACACGCATTGAATGAAAATGATTAATAGCGGGGGAAAAGTCTCGAATAGCTGAAACGTCTCGTTTCATCTACTCGCTAATTACGAGACGATTTCACGTTTATAATGAATGTATCAGGTATTCGCAAACGACTTGGACAGCGAGGAGAACGGGAACGTGTCTTATTACATCGAACGAGGTGACAGGCAGAAGCAATTCTCGATCGATCAGAAAACGGGGCAAATTACTGTCGCCGCGCCACTGGATCGCGAAGAAGTCAGTATAAATCATACGCGCCGTTCATTGCGTATCTTAATGCGGCTGTATGCCCATTTGCAATGCAATCTACAACGATATATTTCATGTTTCCAGATCGGTAATTACGTATTGGAGGTTCATGCCCGGGACAACGGCATACCTATACTTTCGAGCTTCGTGATGGTAAACATCGAGGTTCTAGATGCAAATGACAACCCGCCGCTGTTCTCCCTCTCGAATTATACCGCGGTGGTGCAAGAAGACAAGCCATTGGGCCACACCGTGTTACAATTCCTGGTCACAGACGCCGATATAGAGCCGAACGCCGCGCCGTACACCTTCGACTTCCGGTCTGGCAACGAGGGCGACGCTTTCAGACTGGAACAGGACGGCACGCTCCGAACCGCCACCAAGTTCAACAACAGGGTGAAAGATAAATACGTGTTGCATATACGCGTCTTCGACAACGGAAGTCCACCTCTCTATTCCGATGCGTGGGTCGTGATCAAAGTGATCGAGGAGTCTCAGTATCCGCCGCAGATCACGCCCCTGAAAGTCGTTATTATTTCCTACATGGACGAGTATCCCGGTGGAATCATTGGAAAAGTTCACGCAACCGATCAAGATCAATACGACACGCTTCTGTACGGTTTGGTCTCGTCCTCTCCGATCCCCAACGATCTCTTTCAGATCGAGAAACTCGACGGCACGTTGGTGGCACTTCCGCGTCTCGATGTCGGCGAATACAGGGTGAACGTTAGCGTCACCGACGGGAAATTCTACTCGTATTCTGTCGTCAAGGTGAACGTCGATCTGGTAACGGAGAAGATGTTGGAGAATTCCGTGATCGTGAGATTCAGGGAGGTCAGTCCGGAGGACTTTGTATTGAGGCATCGTGAGAGGTTCATTAAAACCGTGCGCAACGCGTTGAACCGCAGATCGGAGGATGTCGTTATTATCAGCGTCCAACCTTCTACCGACGAAGTGAATCTCATCAAATCACGCACCATTCGCCAAACCGTTCACAACGATCTCGACCTGCTGTTCGCCGTGAAGAAGAGCTCCTCGCCTTTGGGATCGTCGACCTTTTATACCTCCGAGAGCATCCGAGAGGCGTTGAACCAGCGTATCGAGGAGCTCGAGCAATCGACGAAATTAGTCGTGGAAGAAATCGTCAGATCTAAGTGCAACAAAGAATACTGCGTCTACGGGGATTGTCAGGATAGAATCATTCTCGATGTCAACCACATAACGCCTATAGCTACCGACGTGATCAGTTTCGTGTCGCCGCGGCACAAGCACAAGATGGAGTGCAGCTGCAAAGAAGGATACGCCGGGAATCATTGCGAGGTAGTTGTCAACGAGTGTGCCAGGGATCCTTGCCCGCCGTTCAAGGTCTGCATTCCCGACTCCTCGGTCCAAGGATACTCTTGCCAATGCCCCGAGGGTTTCGCCGGGCAAACCTGCGACATCGACATCTCCAAGTGTCACGACGAGTCTTGCTACATTCCACGGAATCCCATATCATTTAGCGGCAAGAGCTACGCCCGTTACAAGATCGACAAAGCTTTGATCAGGCAGACGATCGAGGATCGGCTCAGTTTATCATTGAGGATCAGAACGGTGCAATTAACTGGAAACCTGATGTACGCGGCCGGCAAGGTCGACTACAACATACTGGAAATCGTGAACGGGGTTGTTCAGTACAAGTTCGATCTGGGTAGCGGGGAGGGTTTGGTCCGCGTGAGCAGCGTCTACGTGAGCGACGGACAGTGGCACGAGATTCAACTAGAACGTGAGAGCAACAACGCCAAATTGATCGTGGATGGGAAGGGCGTGGCTCATGGATCAGCGCCCGGTATCAACGACATTCTCAACCTTCAGTCCGACGATCTTTACTTGGGCGCCGAGGTCAAGCAACATCCGTCGATTCTCGGCTTCGAGGATGTTCAACGTGGTTTCATAGGGTGCATGGACGACGTCAGGATAGCGAGAGTGTCGGTGCCGCTGCACATGAGCGGCGCCAGTAGCGTGGCTGTTCTGAAACGCTTCGCGAACGTGGAATTCAGCTGCGACGCCGCCACGGTTCTCGTGCCGCCGGGTATCTGCGGTTCGCAACCGTGCCAGAACGGCGGGACCTGCAAGGATTCCGGCGGCGAGGACTACGAGTGTCAATGTCACAGCAGATTCGCGGGGATCGCTTGCGAGATCGATACCGACCCTTGCGCCTCGTCGCCCTGTCTCTACGGTGGTCGTTGCAAAGTGACACCGGAAGGAGGCGACTACAGTTGCGAATGCGTCGGGCCGAGTCTGAGCGGGAAACGCTGCGAATTCGGAAGGTATTGCAGCCCGAACCCGTGTATTCACGGCGGGGTATGCGAGGAGGGCAACAACGGGCCGATATGCAAGTGCCAAGGATTCATGGGAGAACGTTGCGAGACGGACGTTAACGAGTGCGACGCCAATCCGTGCACAAACGGGGGAACCTGCGTGAACGAAATCGGGACGTACAGGTGCATCTGTCCCCCTAACATGACCGGATTAAATTGTGGCAACCCGGCATATTCCACGCCGATAATATCGAGCCACTTCAGAATCACGTGGGAGCATCTAATGTGGATTGGCGTCGCTGTAGCAGTGAACGTGTTCCTAATCGTCACATATCTCGCCTTCCGACGGATCAGGATGAAACGAACGAGGGCGCGGGCGAACAACATCAACAACGAGACGAGAAAGCAAATTGTTTTGAATTCGGCGCGGCCACACGAGCACGAGTTCAAACGTAGCTCGAAATTGAGCAATCTGGAAGTGATACAGGTATCGTATCCACGTTCGACGGATATACCTTTTTTGATTTGCCAGCACTTTACGAGAGTAACAAAACCGCATGCTTTTGATCATACTCGGATCGTACGCCAACATGGATAGATGATTTTTCTTTTTTTTTTTTTTTCCTTTTTATTCTAATTTTTGTCCTCTCTCTTTTTCAATGGCGTTCTTTTTCTTGATTTGCAATCATCAGCCAGTAATCCCTCTCCTGCGAGTGATGCGTGCATCGAGTTTAAGGTTTTTCGTGTGATTCTTTTTTTGCAGAGAGAACCCCCCCAATGCCCTCCTAGACCTGCTTCCTATACTCCCAGCTCGAACAACGAACCAGCCGCGTATGGTAACTCGGCAGCAGTGGCGCTAAATAATCTAGACACGCTGCGCAGTTATGGCAGTGCCGGCGACGAGCTAGAGAATTTCCCGCCAGATTATTTGAGAAACCTAAACCGCAGCACACCCGTGCCCCCTCCGTCCTTAACCCTCGCTAACCCAGTCGGCGGAAACGCTGCAGGCAGTGATACGGATAGCCTTCATAAGCCAACCTGGCAAGAGCAGATGCAACTAGCTTCCTTCATCACGGACACCACAAAGATCAAAAACGGTGAGTAGTATGCGTCGCTGATTCCCCCGATGGTTCATCGTAGCTTCTTACTTTTGTTTTCGCTTGCGGCATGCATCGTGGGTGGAATACATAGCTTGATCCGATTGACTCGATTTCTCTTCTACTCGTCCTTCTCTTTCTCTCTCTTTCTCTCACTTTCTCTCTAACTATGCTCCTATATAGTTAGTCTTCTTACTTCTCCCTGTTCGTTCTCTTGTCATTTAACAAGTCGTTTCGTTACAAACGTTCTCACTTTCTTCCTTCATGTGCAAGTCTCACAGTCTTACGATCTTGCTTCTCGTTCTCTGTTTCTCCCTCTGTTCGTTTCCCCACTTCTCGATACGAATGTCTGGAAATGTATGCTGACTTTGGGCGTGTAGCGTGAATCGAATTAACATTGGTGTATCGTATTGTGTGCGCTAACAGACCTGAAACGAGCGAGCCCAGTGGTACCAGAGCTGACCACTGGAGGACTTCTACTAAATTCTTCTTCTCGACGCGTGCCTCATGGAGGTGGGACCTCCGTTGCCTCCATGACGTCCATCGAGGATGATCCTCGTATAGTCGGTGGTAAGTCGAGATGGCAATGCCTGCGTGAGAACAACACCGAAATACCCAAGGATACACATTTCGACATTTTGGGTCGCTTCGCTTGTACTGCTACCCCCTCTCTATCGGCCAGACTCTATTTTTTTTTCTTTTATCCTTTATTTACCAGACAGATACTCCGCTTTTCTTTCTCTTCATTTCTCTCTCTCTCTCTCTCTCTCTCTCTCTCTCTCTCTCTCTCTCTCTTTCTCTCTCTTTTCTGTCCCTTTCTCACTCCGTATCGCGGCGCCGGATCGTCGCATGTAGTGTGTCGGAGTACAGTTGTCTGCAATGCTTTTAGGGTATCACTGGGATTGTTCAGACTGGGTCAGGCCAAGCCAAAACCCCTTGCCTAATATCACGGAGGTGCCTGGAAGCGAAGTACCAGACTCGTCCAGCTTCCACAGCAACGAGAGTAACGAATCAAACACTCATCAGTTACCGTCAGGTGAGTTATGCGACTGCATGCTTGGCGGCAGTACAATTGCTTTCACTCGCCGTTGAAACAGTCGGTTTACGTCCGTAGACGTATTTTCTGCGAGATAATTCTAGAAACAGCTGTCGAATCTTTCTTCTCCTTTGAATAATTTGTCATCTTGTACGTACAAGTAGCGGCAAAATCGGATGCATGCGATGGTATCACGGTAGACTTGGTGATTTGTCTTTTTAATCCTCGATCGACCACGGTGTTGTCACACTTGTAACATCCAGCGACGTTAAATTTCCGTTCATTTTCTTTTCTCGTCGGAAAAAGATTGCTGCTGAATATTTAATTGAATCGCCAGTTGGCGCGTTCGAAGCATAAACTAAGGAGTGGTGTCGGTTGCAGTGCACGGCTCTGTAGATCCAGCGAGGGACATCGAGACGTTGAACGAAGATCAAGAGTCGGAGTACGTCGGCGACTCGGAATGCGGGACTGAGTTTTCCGAGCAGTATCAGTGCGCGGAAACGCAGCGTCTGAATCCCCTGGACAGCGGCGGCGAGGGGGAGTACAAGTATAAAGGCTCCGAGAGCTATCTCCGTCATCCGAACTCGTATCTGCCGCATTACAACATCCACACGGACACGGAGAACGAAACGAACCCGTTGAATGGACGTCTTAGTACTTTAGAATCCGACGAGGAGGAAGACGACGTAGTGCCTTATGGTTTCCCAAGCACCCGACGCAACCGATGCCACAAGGGGGACGAGGTCGACGACATCGGTTCGGTGATCACCACGCTCGAGGAGAGAAACTCACTGTTGGGCGGTGCGACCAGCAACAGCGACTTGTCCACCAACTTGTGCGAGATCGACGATTCCGAGTACGAGATCGCCGATCAGAAGAGCAACGGCCGCCTGTGGTTGTCGGGGAACGGTATCACGCAGACCTCGGTGTGACAAACAGTGGTGCCACCACGACTTGAGAACAGACTGTACGTGATCGTGTTTTTCTGTGCTTCTTGAATAAAAGACAGTGCGAATGTTATGTGAATATATACAATGATGAATTATTGTACATACGATTATTGTATCGACGCAGACGGTAGGGAGAAAACGGTAAAAGAGTGTGTACAGAGGCAGCTATGAATATAAGAAAATTGATGAACACGAGCCGAATTGAAAAGAACGGTATGGAAGTAATCGCATACTGAGCAACGGTGCGCCCGTCGTTCGCGCATCGTACCTCGAATCTCCTATGTAGGTAGAGCTTAGGTACTCCAACGTACTTAATCCCGCGATCCTCGAAACGATTCCATTGAGCCGCAGGCGTGAAAATGAACGTACATGTATCTGGGAGCAATTCTTCTTTTCGTACGACTTTCGTTGTACGTTCTCACGGTAATTAATAAAAATAGGGCCATTTGACGAATTTGATGAGTTTTTTTAACATCGCACGTTATTCTGTCGACGACGAATTCATTTGATAGACGATTTTACGATATACATATATTATATACGGACCATTAACAGTTTCGTTTTACGGCAAAACATCTTTTTGATTCTACCAAAGGGGATGAGGTTTTAGTAAGAAAAAAAAAAAAATATATAATATATATATGTATATGTATACGTATACGATACGTGAGAAGAATATATGTATACATATATATCGTGACAACTATACGCAACTATTACGAGTAAGAAGTTATCTTGATTAAGGATAAAATTTGTTACTTGAAAAAAAGTAAATTTAATCACGACCGCGTTGTCAGACCAATGACTAATTATTTAATGACCTATCGTTTAAACTTAAATGTTATCCGCAACTATAATTCCACTGCAAAAAAAAAAAAAAGTACATAGGTACATTTATGTATTTTTACTATTTGCTAACCGACTTTATTTTGGTTACGTACGAAGTAAACAGAAGGACTACTTAATAATATAGATATAAGTACAGCATAGTCTAGCGAGTAAATGAATTGACTCTAGTGAAAGAAAAGAAACAATGCTCTGCTTCTAGGGCGAATATATGTGCATGTCTGCTGGCGTTTACTGCAGCGAAAGCACAATAGTTAAAAAAGATATGAAATATTTTTACTGTGATGATAATAATGTTTATACAATGATCAAATACTATGACTTGTATGATAATGATTGTAATATTAACTATCCAACGTTTTTTAAAAGGAAAGAAATTAAGAAATCGCGGAAGGTAATATTCAATTTCCGTGCGTACGTAATGCTAAGTCAACGTTCTGTTCGTTTAACTTCATCCGTTTTATTTCCACTCTCCTTTTCTCTTTTTTTTTTTTTTTCTACTTGAAACGTTTTCCTTCCATTAGTCACCATCAGTTCGACAGGCATAACTGCATATATGGTGCTACTACTTACATCACGCTTTAACATTTTTATCTACTCGATAAGACTGCTCAGCAAGCATGTGGAGATCGTGCCGCAATTCATTCGACGCGCTCTTATCATGAATTACTCATAGTTCTCACGCTATTATTTTTTTCATCATGAAAATCTGTCCAAATAACGATAATGAAACATTTTTTAAACTGCCAACTTAACGAACAATGTTTTCGTACGAGCGAAGGCATTTCCCTTGATTGATTTGTGTAGTTAATCGTGACACACAAAGGGTCAAGAAAACTGTTATTTCTGTGCCTAAATGTCTTTTAAATACCGTGTACTTCCACGCAACATACGTTCTCTTTCCGTTGGACGAATATTTTAGGGGCAGCTTGATTGGGAGAGGTGTACACGTTCTTTTTATACATGTAGAATTCTACTGGCAAATTCGTTGTTTATGTTCCTGTTCTGTAAAGAATACTAGCCATCTTATTCTACATTTAGTGGGATAAACGAGTAAAACCACGTTAATTATAATGCGAAACAGGGTGACTTTCTTTTTTTTCTCTTCTTTTTTTTTTTTTTTTGTTTGACCAAAAGGAAAAGAAAATTGTCTTCTTTGTAAGTTTGAAATAGCTGTGCCTCTCCTCTCTGAAATTTCAATGCAATTACTTACACGGATACAATTGAACATAGACAATTTATTCTATATTAGAATGAAATGAGAATATTGTACAGTTTTAACTTAACAAATTGTATCGGAATCAACATCCAACGCGCAATGAAAATTTCAGTTTGCGTCGAAGCACAGCAAACTTCTTAATTGTTAAGATTAGTTTTATATTTTACGGATTAACAATGACGACATATTGGTTAAAGACTGTGTAAAGCGATGCGGATGAAACGATCATCCATTTATAAATATTGTACCAATCGGTTTGCAATCACGTGGACGTTACGAGATATTTCGTTGTAAAGCTGTAAAAGAAGAGGAAGCGCAATATTTTATAGAATTTCTGATCAATGAGCGACATTAAGTTTTGAACGAAATACGATTTCGTAAAGTAAGATTTAACAATTTCGTATAATTAACAGTTTACGCATTCGGAACTGATCGAAACGAGTACATTTCATTTCTATGCGTTCACTTGTTTTATTTTTCTAAACTACTTCTTACTGATTTTTGTATTTGATTATACCTTACAAACTAATAAATAGTTCCACTTATTTCTTACTTTATTGTAACTTGCCATAATTGTATGACGATGAAGAATGTAGGAAATTAAACATGAAAAAGATGTGGGTACAACTTTCAAATTCACCGCAACTTAGCCCTGCTAATAGGATACATATCGATATCATGAAATCCTTCAAACAATGAGAAACTTGACTTGTTATAATTAGAAGGCTATAATTAATTTGTACAAGATCAACCTATTGTAATAAAGAATACAATCTTGCCTACGATTTGTGTTATTACATTAATTTTTAATAATCATTACTATCATCCATGTTTCAAATACTTCCTTTCCCGAATTGCCTGACTTTATTAACCGAGATGAGTGAAACAATAAACACATCGGTTAGTAATTACAACAATCATTTCTACAAAAATGAAAAACATAAATGATAACAATTACATTTTTATCAAAATAAATTTTAATCAAGTAATTGTACAATTATCAACTAGTTATTTTATTTAAAGTGCTTGTATAATTAATTTATATACAACGTGCAATTTATTGAAAAATAATTTTGCAAATCAGTGACTTCACTGATGTTTCTCTAAAGCTGTAGTCAGTAATTCATTCAATGATTCTAATAATATACGTGGATTTTCAATTAAACCAGCTTCTACCATACTGTTAGTGAATAACTGGAACAAAATAAAAGAAACTTTAGAACAATAATTTAGAATATAAAATATGAAAATTTCAAAAATAGAAGATCCTGGCACAATACCTGTTTTATAAGAAGATCTGCCAATTTTGTATCGGTTTTCATTAACTGACAAAGCTTTTTAATAAGGGAATGTTTAGGATTTATCTCCAAGCATGGCCGAAGCAGAGTGTATAACATATCATCTCCCATTTGACGAGTTTGTATGCGGGCAAAATGTCTTGCACTTGCCATTTCTTGGACTGTGATAACACACGGATGTGACTCGAGTCGAGTCGTTGTTTTAATATCGTGTGCTTTTCCGGATAAAGTTTTCTTCATGTATGTTATAAGATCATTAATTTCAGTTTGATTAATAATACCTAAGTAAAAAAGAAATATTATAGCAGAATATTTATATAAATTCAAGAACCACTGTGACACAGCACATACCAGGACTATCAGATTTTGAATCTGATTCACGTAATTCTTCTTCGATAGAAGTCAGCTTATGAGAATTAAATTGTCTTAAGTGCAAGAAAATCACATCATCATGTGCTTCATAACAAAATAGTACTTCGATATTCCTTTTCTTTAAAGATTCGTAATATGGCGATTGTTCAGCTAATTTTCGACTAAAATTAAAAAATAAATGCAAGTATAGTCTCAATTACATATACTAGCAGAAATAATTAACTTACTTTGGCGCTAACAAATAGTAAATCTTGTTTTGATCAGAAGGCATTCGTGCGCAATAATCTGTTAGAGTTACCAATTCTTCTGGTGGTTTTGCAGATGACTCAAATCGTAAAAGTTTAGCTATACTTTCCTATGAAAATAAAAAAAATATTAAATTATTACGGAAAAATAGTATTAGTAAAATGAAAAAAAAATATATACATTACCTTCTCTCTCTGATCATCAGTGCTCACAATACCTTCTTTTAAGAAAATACTATAATCTTTATAAAATTTGTCATACTCCTCAGTTTGTTTCTGAGCTTTTTCATTCAAAAATTTTAAAACTCGCGCAGTTACAACATTGCGCAATTTCCTACAGTTAAAATAAATAAAGATTTATATAAATGTTACATATTTCATTTTACCTATTTTTGCCTTACCCGATTAAGGTACTATTCTGTAACAATTCACGACTTAAATTAAGAGGAATATCTTCCGAATCAACTACTCCTTTGATGAAACGCATCCACTTTGGCAAAATAGTGTCCACTTTGCTTTTAATTAAAACTTTACGACTATATAACGAGACTCCGCTTACTTCACCTTTCGTAAAATCATATAACGGTGGTTTTTGTTCTGGGAAATATAGTAACGCTCTTATATTAAGTGGAACATCAGTTGAATAATGTAATGTAAATCGCGGAGAATCGAAACAGTTTCCAATGAACATATAAAACTCTTTATGTTGCGCTGGCGTAATATCTTTAGGATCGAGCATCCACAATGCCTGAAAAGATATATGTAACAATATGATTTAATGTAAAATACCACAGAAAAATGCAAGCACTTCTACCATACCTGCATAGTATTAACTTTTTTGCCATTAACATAAATAGGACTATTGATAAAGTTGCTGTACTTAGTGATGAGACCTTCGAAATATTAATACATTAATTAATAATTGAAAAATAAATAATCTCATAGAAATTAAATTACATACGATTCACCGTGTCTTCATCGCTATATTCCCGACATTCGAGATTCAGATGTATAACAATTTTTGTTCCTGGTTGAACTCCTTCAGCTTTTGAGATTTTGAATGCATTTGAACTGAGTAAAACATATTTTATAACATGATATAAACTTATTTTCCCATATTATATAAAATTAAGGACATTTGTATACTGTTTTTTTTTTACCCATCAGAAACCCAGCAAAGTCCTTCAGCATCTGGTGCATACGACTTTGTAAATACTTCTACTTTATCAGCAACCATAAAAGCACTATAGAAACCAACACCAAATTGTCCAATAATTTGGGATGTATCACCGACATCTTGTTTCTCCTTTAATTTTTCCAAAAACGCCTGTATTAAAGAAAAAGATATATCATGTAATAAAAAATTAATAGTATACAGTCAAGTCACTTTAATTTATACTATCAATTTATACCTACTCTAGAACCAGATCTAGCTATAGTTCCTAAATTTGATATTAATTCTTCTCGAGTCATACCAATTCCTGTATCCTGGATTATAAGTACCCTATTTTGTTTATCAGTACCAATATGAATTTCTAAACTTCTATCACCAATAATTTCTGCAGCTTTAGAATCACTTAAGCGCATATATCTCAATTTTTCAAGTGCATCGCTTGCATTGGAAATTAGTTCTCGTAGAAACACCTTCAAATCACATAAAAGAAAGAAATTTGTTTCTAAAAATTAAAAAATATTTAAATAATTTCATATAAGATAAGAATGATGTTACCTCTTTATTTGAATATAACGACTTTGCAACAATTTGTAAAAGCATCTGTGTTTCTGATTGAAATTCATGTTTAACTCCTTCCTCTGCCAAAATTAAAAACATGTTACATAAAACTTTGAAGATGTTTTTATAAAGAAAAATGTGTTGCAAATACCTGTAGGTTTTTCTATATCTTGTATAATATTATGAGTTTCTGTGGTTTTTGTTGCTGCCTGAGAGGAATAACTTTGTACCAAACTGCCTGTTATAGCTATATATATATATATATTCAAAAGCCAATTAGTGAACTAATTTAAATAAATCATTAAAAATAAATTGAGTATCAAATATTTTGTTGATAATGTACAATTACATAAATATTCATTGCATTTGTTTTATATGATCAAAGAAAACATGCAGATAACCTCAAAATCTATTTAACTGAAAAAATAAAATAGAAATAAAAATAATATGACGTACGACTATACAAACCTGAAAACTGTTGATATTGTTTTTCCAAAATTCGTCTTTCAAAATGTTGACTTAACGGTCTTGAAAGACTTTTTCCAAATTTAATCGCGAGTTGCAATCTGTGAATAGTAGCCATGTTTTCGAAATAACCAGAAACTTCCCACTCTTTTGATTCGCGTTTACACGTGATTCATTGATAATATAAAATAGTTGTGTCTCATACTAAATCTTTATAACATTTAAGCAAAATTTCACTTTTCATATTCAAACTATTCAGCAATAGAAATTTTAATTTCTTCATAGCAGTATTACACTTTATGATCCGTGAAGGTTAAAAGAAATTCTGTAGAAATATCTCCGATTGTTTTTGATAACATTTAAACATTTAAAGGAACAAAGTGATCAAAGTAAATTAAACACAGGTTATGGCATATAAATTTGTTTATTATTATTATCTGTATAATATATTTGAAACAATATCATTCTACAACATTGCATAAAAATATACAAAGACATGACAAAATGTCTTGACTCTCGTTTGATAAAACATGTTTATGAATAATTTGATCAGCGTTGCACCGCTATCAGATTTAACTAAATTTATTCATTTAATAGGTCACTTTCGAATTACATTACATTAAACCGCTATTCATTCATTTTTTTCTTTTTCTCTTTTTTAGTGTCCTTGCTCAAACGATTCGTCAATGAACCTGGGATAAAATAAAATAATCTTTTAAATTTTATCCAGAATTCTCGTTCGCCGTATATATATGTATATGAGAAAACTGAATAAAAATCGGAATTTTCAATTTTTAAATGAGCATGGTTCTTATCCATCTGATAAACACTTATAAAATAACTCGACAGAAACTAAATAGCGATACGAACGATTATTTCTTCTGTTCATATTTTTTTCTTATACAATGGAGTGTATGGCCGCAAAAAAAAAGAAAAAAAGAAAGGAACGTTCATTCTCTGATCACGCATTCATTTAATACGCCCTTAAAGTCAAAAAAAGTCGGTGATCCGAAATATATAAATCGAAACAAGAAAAAAAGATTTCAAAAAATTGCGCATTTACTAATTTTTGAAATGCGCGCGCCGCATGAGAAGTGTAACGGAACTTACGAGAATCGGAAACGAAGCGCAGTTGTAGACAAAGAATTCGCTTCGAGTGCGTCATAAACATGTTTAGAGAGTACATAGGCCAGAAATAAAAATAGAAGGAAGGAACGAAAAAATAGATGAAAAAAAAAAAAGAAACGAAAAACAGTAAAAATAGACAAAGAAGAAAAGACGAGAGATGAAGAAATAAAATTGATGTCTTGAATGTATGAAGGAAAACGATGGTCCTTTTCCCGTTGTGGCCTTTGACGAAAATTGAAATCGGCTCAGATTTAGCAACACTCTCATCCGAACGCAATTATTATCTTTCTTTTGAGATCATTGGCCAAAGGATAACAGTGATAATTATAATATTAATAATGACAATAGTAATAAGTAATAATAATAATTAATAATAATAATAATATAATGACAATAATAATAGTTACTTAGAAATAATAATAATAATAATAATAACTATCCGTAAGCTATCCTTTACCAAGGGAGATATTACCCATTAGCTTATGTACATAATCTGTGTATATGATTTCTCATTTCTCTTCCTCCGTCTTTCGTGTTAAATTACGAATTATTACAATAATTCACTATCGAATTCGCTTCGATCAGCAACATAAATAATTATAACGCAACACTGTTTTCTTTCTTTCATCTCTTTTTTATCTGTTTTGTTCGTTTATTTACAGGCATTATTTCCCTCGCGTCTCACATCCAACCAACGCGTGTCCACTCACTCTCTATCTCTATCGCTATCTCTTTCTTTTTACCTCCTTTGTTCTTCCCTCCCCTCCCCCCCCCATTCCCCCCGATTTGTTTCACTACTGTTATTGCTACCTCATCTCGTCTCTCTCGCGGTAACCCGATCTGCTTTCACATATTCGCGAACGGAAAGAAACGGCGAGGCGTAAGTTTCACGGCACGGATCATCGTAAACTATTATCGGCGAACTCTCGCGGAAAATTCCATTTCATTCCGAGTCCCTAGGATGATCGCCTGCTGCGCCTTCTTTTTTTTTTTTTTTTTTTTTTTTTTTTTTTCGTTTTTTTGACTAAACCCCCGCCCTCAATACGTACGCGTATCTAGTTTCATCGTTACAGCATTAACAATATATATATCACAATCTCGTTGAGAACAATAGCATGAAGAGAGTATTGATTCTGCGTCGATGGATCTGTAGCGAAGACGCTAGCACGTTCATCCCGTTTCGCGTATGTTTCTTCTTTTCCCTTCTCTATCATATTATTTATCCTTAATTTATCTGTGTAATCGAAGATCAATCTTAATCAACATCGATGTTATTCGCTCCTATCGATCCGACGTCCGTCCGTAAGACGCGGACATCTCAGTAACTAATTTCTCAAATTGTCTGAATCGCTAATTATGTATTCTCGTTTCGTTTTTTTATTTTCTCAAGATTGTCGCTGTGCACGCCCGTTACGTACCCGTCACGGACCGTATCCTATGACCTGCTCGAAGCGATTTCTCGCCAAGAAGGGAGAGAAACGGCTTTCATTTGCATTCTCGATCCCCTCTCGCGCGCAATTCGGTCGAAGAAGAAAACGTCAAGACTCTGTGGCGCGACGGTGTTCGCCGATTATCCGTCAGCCGCAAAAATTACAGTCACGTGCTTCGCTCGCTTTCTCTTTGTCTCTATCTACCTCCCACCAACCGCATTCTGACTTACTACACGCTATTTACAATATACGACGAAGGAAAAAAGAAAACGATACGTTGCTATGCTTCTGTCGCCGTGATTCTATGTCGTCGTCGTCGTCGTCGTCGTCGACGTTGCCGCCTTTGTTGGTCGAATTATTTTATCGCAATTTATCGAAACCTCCTCCTGTGCATTAGAAATACTGATCCCACAAATGTTGTTCCGAATTGTATTCACTATACTTGAGATGTAATCGATTGATGTTTCATGGTCGCTCGGAAAAATTGTCGAGAAAAAGCTATATATATGTATATATACATGTATATATGTATAATTATTATATCTTCAAACTCGTTGAGTCACGCTCTGCTTTTTCTCGGTTCCTCCTCTCGCTGAATCTACTCTGTCATTCCAAAGAACAATCTCTTCGAACTGAAAATTCGCCGTAGCTCGACAACCCTGAAACTGAGAGAGTTTTAATTCATAGATTTGGCGTTCATAGATTCTTGCATTTAAACTCGAATACACATGGTTTCTAATACAGAAAAAGTAGGAACATATAAAATTTGATCGCTCGTTAAAACAAAATTAAATTGAAAGGAAATTTTCGAGGATACATCGTCGAAGATATCGTCCTTGGAAGAAACGAAATTCCTATGAAATGAACTGTTTGAAAAAAAAGAGGCTTCGATCCGATATTATCGACGACCTCGACGACTGTTTCTCGTATTCTTGTAAAGAGAGGATCAGTAGAAAAAATCATCTAGTCGACGCTCTACACGCAAGGCAAGCGAGTACAAAATAAACTGGGTACAAGAACCATGAGTTGGTTTTATATAACTGTGAAATATATATATACCGTCCAATTTCTCGCATTTTTTTTCTTCTTCTTTTCTTTTTTTTTCTTTTTTTCTTGTTCTCACGCACAGAAGTGCGTGTTTGCAAAATGTTTTTTTTCTCTCAAGAACAAAAATTTAGAAAAGATCTCGACACTGATCTCGCTGACCTTTAACGACGAACAATGATCGTTTCAGATCTATTGCTGTTGCGTGTCAAAATATTCATTGTTACGTTGCAAATTAAAAAAAAAAACCACATCTTCCCGCGTATTTCGAGAGAAGTAATTCAGAAGATATTCCCCGAAGTTGTTTCGATTGATTGTACTCGGGCTCGTGAGATTCTCGCACGATTTGAACGTGAATTGTAATTACTAGAGTTAGACTGTGCAACTTCCAAACGAGAATTTGTTTCAATCCAGAATAATTCCTGTCTTTTTTCTATCGCAAAGGTCAGTTAATTAGTTGATAGTTTCACCACAGATTTTTCATGAGCCATTCGGTGTTGTGTATATAACGGAGCGTTGCGTGCTCTGTCGATGTCGACCAGTGGATCGTCGTTGCACTTACATCTTCTATCAATGAAATTTCCAAATCATTGAAATCAAACATTTCACTAATTATCTTTGACGATACTCATTTCTTACTTTCACCGTTCAGACAGTTGTAACCTACTGGAGATGAAAGTAAAGGCAAGATTAGGTACAGTACTCCTCTAACGACATCATTTCCTTAAATTGTCCGTTACGTACGGCATGTAACGAACTGAACTTTGGTAAAAAAAGAAAAAAAAAAAAAACGATTGGCCCACACGAATTTGCATAAAAAGGAAAAGTCGGATTATAAATCAATCCTTTGGTTACCTTGGGTACGTTTATACACGATTGTAGATCTAGGATCGACGACTTTCTTTGAATGTCATTTAGATCCGAAATAGATAACACTTAATACAAAAGTTTGGACAAACTTTTCGCAGATATATAAATCTGAATGAGACTTCGATTAAAGGTTCTCGACTTGACGGACTTTGAAATACTGAGCTTGAAAATCTACTTTCGAACACAAAACGGAAAGTCGATGTAGTTATATACGAAGAACAAACATACATAGGAATCATCAACCTCGCGTTAATAAGATACTGTAGATAGAAAGGAAACTGAAGGAAGATTCTATCATAACACGATGCAAAAGCAAATTGCAAATCTTCCACATCTACATGATCCTTAGCTCAGTTCTACGAACTGGAGTTACTGCCCACAGGAATCATAATCTGACGGCCACCGAAATTATTTCTCCATCACCGTAGAGAGACCATCCGCTCTATCCCAGGGAAAATTCTCTCGCAAAACTGTAAGAGTCCGTTTAAATTGGGCACGAGCTACCCTTATGTCACGATAGTAATTTCACGAGGAGCCAAGGCCAACGGATTGACATTTTCGGGTTGGCTTCCCTCCTCTTTCCTCCTCCCTCTCCTCTTGTAATCCTTATCCCTCATCGCTGCTCCTACACTCGCTCCTATTTTCAGTCTGGTCTCTCCCTAACCGTGATATTGATCCTCTCCCCTTTCC